TTTCCCAACACTTATTAGCATATATACACATCTTTACAAGGTCTATAAGGGACTTCATCAGGAGTCTCTGGTGGTTATCTATGTCTGGAGCCCCCAAAGTCCTAAATGACTGCCTTATGCACTTCTTTAAGACAATACACCTGATTATAGAGTAACTTGGTGTTGCTTGGCTGGCTGCCTCAGTTCCCTTCTTCATTAGTTCTTTACTTTGCTTGATTAATCCCTTTAAATCACTTGTCTCAGCTATGTGTAGTTTCTATGGTACATTCCACTGCAAAAAACCTCAAATATCAATGCCATTGAGGTGCTGTCAGGCTGGCTGTGGTCCCATTCTGGATGATCTCCATGTGAAATCAGGAAGGCTGGAGTTATTTGGCAACCTTGGTGGAGGAGCTTAATTTTCTCAGCCTGTGGTGAACTGTGTCCGATATCCGTGGAAAACAGTGAATCCAGGATTTGGCTCATCAGAACCTTGCCAGCAACCATAAAAAAAAAAGACATGCAAATAATTCCAACTGTTCCTGTCCCAATTTACAAGAGACTAAAATAATCTATATCTGATCTACACACATCTTCAAGAAACAGTGAAAATCACAACTAAATTCTTAACAATACATAATTCTGATACAAGATGCAAACAGAAGCTGTTTCAAGTAATTTTTATGCATGGTCCCCTGGATGATGTATTGCAACAATGATGATACCAATATCATGACTAGAAAGGCCTCTATTCTAGTTTGTATTAGAGGGTGTTATAGCTGAGATTCCTGGGAAATGAGCACACCTAAATATAGGTGCCTGTGTGGGTGCTAGGTGTTTAAGCTCCAGTTTCAGAGTGTTAAGGCTTCACTTGCTTAAATGTAGGTTCTCTAGTGGCCTTTGAGATGCTGTATAGTGTCCAGGACACCTAGATGGGGCTGACACAAGACCTATGGAAAAACCATGCCCTCTGCAGCATAATCTGGAGGCCAGGGAGGACCTCCAGGGACATCTCTGGTGGCACTAGAAGCTGTGGCAGCTGAATCTCATCCCTGGTAAATGCAGTTAATGAAGCGTGAGGAGGTGCAGCAGCCACTGAGTGTCTTCTATGGGGTAAGCTCCATCATATCTAGGTTCCATCATCTAATTAGAGCATCACAAGCTGTTAATAGACATTTAAAGCTGAATTCCCTTGTCCACTATTCAGAATGTCCTAAGAAATCCCAGACATCTGCACGGGGTTGGTTGGTGTGACAGAAGGCCAATGTTACCCTGGAACAGCAGCTGAAGGCCCAACAGGATGCTCCAGGGCACCTCAAAAGGCATTAGGCAGAGTCAGGAGGTCTGAACCTACAAAGAATTCCTAAAGGTATAAAACACTGGAGATTCTTACAGTCAGGAGAATTATGTGACTTTCTTTAGCTTAGACTGCACGAGGATTCCTGACCCTCTTGTCCACTCCCTAGATGCATTTAGCTGACTACAGTGCAAACAAAGAACAGTAGAACCCAGAGGTTCTGACTGCACAGCAGGGAACAGTGTTTTATTTCAAATGTCTTAAAATTATATTTTTATTCTTTTCAGTCAATTTAGTTTGCGTGAAAAGTTGATAAATTCAAGCCTGGCCAGTCATTCATTTAAGACTTCTTAGAAAATCAAAGGGGAAAAATGAACTAGAATGTGGGCTATTAAAAATTTCAATCCAGATAACTTAAGAGCAGCCAAATCTGCCTGTTACACTGACTACAGAATTTAAAAAGTATATCGTTAATTTTTGTAATGATATACTTCTAGATTTTCCATTCAAATGAATATAGATGAGCAAGTAGATGAACTGACTGCAAATATGTGAGATACGAGATGCTTTCAACAAAGAGCAAATCATGTTACTTGCCTTTTCTTTCTTTTTTTACTGTCAGATTTTGCTGTGTGCAGTACTGGTGTTGGCCATGGTGGTGCAGTGTTCTGAACAGTGATGATAAGCAAACTGAATGTTACCTTTCCTGGTTTTAATGACAACTAGGCAGTGCCCCTGCAATAGGTATATACATATGATTATGTTAAGGACAAGCTGTCAGGTACATTCACTTTTCATGTTCAATATATAAAAAAAAGTTCATCAAGAAGATTCTGCTGCACTTCACATACACAGAGAGCGAGTAATCAATATTCCAATATTATTTAACATAATTAAGAAATAGATACATAGCTAAGAAATTATGATAAGTAGTTCGTATACTAATATTGAAGGTACACAGAAAATTATGAAATTATTTAGGACGTTCTTCACTGAAATGTTTTAGACTACAATTTTAAATATATTGCTGCAACAGTAGTAAAACACAGAGGGTTGGGAAGTAGGATTTAAAAGATTGGTTTTGAGCAGAGGGAAAAACCCCACACGTTATTATAAAACTAAATAGGTAATGCTCATAATAGCGGTATAATTTGTTTTATAGAGAACTACAGCTCTATGGCTGCTGTTTTGCAAGCTTAAAACAAGCTTTCTCGCTAGTATCAGTGTCATAATTGTTTAGGTAATTAATTTTGGTTATCTGTTTGAGAAAGTTGTTTGGGAGATACTTCAAGTAGGATATTTCAGTACTGTTAATGACTGTTTTGAGGCAGAATTTTGTTCCTTAGTGTGACATCTGAAAAAGTACTCATAAATACAGAGAGAGGCAGAGTCTCAGAAAAGTTAATTGCCTTGATGGATCAAAGGAAACAGAAAGCCACGTGATGATCATGAGGGAATTAGACAGCTCTGAGATCACATGGCACCACATGCAGGGCCAGCCAGGGAAATGGCTGAGGAGACATGAGCTGTCAGAGCTGTGTTACCACCAGACTGCAGCACACTCTCATTGTCCCACAGGATGTGGTGCTGCCTGCTTCTTCCCTTCCACCTCCACTGCTGCTTCATCCAGCCTGAAAAATATATAGTGGGGAAAAAATAAAGATTAAAAAGTTGTAATAAAACTAGAAAATATGATAATAGAAGACGTTCAGCAGGACATTGCTTAGGTATTAACATCATGTCTAATTGATCATTTTCTATGAAAACAATAAAGTAGCATAATATTTTCACTTTAATAATAGTAACAAAACAAATGTGAAATATGAAAAAATAAGAAAAGTTGCATTGCTACTATAAGAATGTTTAGGAAGGAAATAGCATATATTGTAGAATCCAGAAATCCAACAACCCTTGAGCTTGGATTTTACCTTATTAGTCATAGCATCCATGCATACAGAAGCATCCCCAAAATCTAGCACCACTGCATCAAGAAACATTTCTGTTCTCTTCACACTAGCGTCAACTTACACAATTCTAAATTTAAGAAGCTTATGAGAATGTAGCATTTCTAAAATTAATCATGCAAAGCATTTCCATGCAAAGCAGCTTGAGACTGCAGCAAGGATCCAGTAAAAACTGGTTTGAGGTGGGAAAGAACTGCCTTATCCAGGTGAGGAGGTTTACTATACCTTTCAGACTACTAGTCTAGGGGTAGATATATATGATGTACATGCTTGAGCATCAGTTAATTCTGTTTTCATTATTAAAATGTATAGTCTAAAGAAAAAAAACAAACCAAAAAGGAAGATTAGACAATAATCACTGTTTCTATGAATACCATCTCACACACCGTATGTTCATGTTTTGGAATTTTTTGGCTTTCTGGAAAGCCCTTTGTTGTGCCCTAGGGGTCTGCAATTGAAAAGAATTAAAATCATAGCAGTTATGAGCACTGAATGTTTGATTAGCCTAGAAAGGAAAAAGAATAAACAAAAAAAGCCTCCACAGACTGGTTATTTCAGTTACAAATCTCAATGTCTTTTTCTGGAGTAGACACTCTCCTCCTCCACACATGTATTGCTTTTTTATAAATCACTAAAAATGTTAAAGAGAAGCAAAGGAAGATGAATCGTTGGCTAATCTAGAGTCTATAAATTTACAGCCTAAGACCTTGACCTGCATGTTAGCTACCTAAAGCACAACTTACATGGAATGATGCAGGATGCCTTGCATCAGATGCTTCTGCCGAGTGCTGAAGATACTCAAACTCATTAGAGGTCTTCATCTAAGGTTCTTGAAAGTGTCAAGAGCTCTTCTTTGCATGACCAGACCTGCCTGGCCCCAGCATCTCAAACCCTCTCCGTTTACAACAGGTCATGTGGAAAACCAGGAGCATCATTCTGTTTAATTTCTCGTGGGGCTTCATTTACATTTGATACACAGAAACATGAGTAGATAATGCACTGTCTTTTGAAGAAAATAAGCCCTTAGTAATAGAAGAGATTGTCTAAGTGCTGTATGACTGCATAGGGATTAGACCACTCAACTGGAAGACGAGAACTGGATAACCACCTGTGTGTGGCTTAGATTCTCACTTGCAGAGATGCTTTTCAGAGGCAGGTGCTTAAACACTTGCTTCCTTCAGAACGTGCCTGCATTAGATGGCTCTCAAGAACATTCCTCCACCCAACCTATGAAACACTCCCAATGTCTTAAGCAAGCTTAAGGCAACATAACACAAGCTCAAGACTTGGTAAGGACTAAGCACCACAGCTATATACCAAGGAAGAAGCATCACCAGGAGTGAAAGCATCACTACCTCGGGGGCTTCTGCACCACTTATTTGTTAAATAAAGCACCCAGGGAAGTCCTATAAACAAGACTTTCCTAGAAGTTTCTTTAGTTATTCCAAAACCTTCAGGCTTGCTAGAGGCAGTCAGCGTTCAACACAAAACTAATGGCCTCTGCATTATTTGTGCCACTTTAAAAGACAGTAAAAAGACGCAAAGCTGTCGGAGTCAGAGCTGTGACAGAGCACCAAGCACAGCAGCCCACCGTGGCCCGGGAGGGAGCCCTCACCTCGCCGCACTCACTCGCGGATCCGGCGGCCGCTCCGCTCCGCCCCGACCCTGCCCCGGCCGCCTCCGAGCGTGTCCGCGCTGTCCCCGCCGGGAGCCGCCGGGAGCCGCCAGGAGCCGCCGGGAGCCGCCGGGAGCCGCCGGGAGCCGCCGGGCCGGGAGCGGCGGGCACAGGGAGCAGCGCGGGCAGGTGAGGCAGCGGGAAGAGACCCGGCATCCCCCACATCCCCCACACCCGCGCTGACAGCGGTCGGTGCCCAGGGGCCAGTGCCACACCTGCCCCGTCCCGTGCACCGGAGAGCGAGGGCGTGAGTCGGGGGTGCCCCAGGGGAGCCCTCGAGAAGGACGGGGGATTGCGGTGCGGTGCCCGCTGCTCGCTCTCCTGCCCTCATCTGTTCGCCTCACGCCACAGTAGCTGTCCCCCCTCCGGGACAGACTGTTCTGTCTGTGGTGGTGTGACGATACCGTCTCTGTACTCCAGGACCTGCCTTCCTCCAGCTCCTTCCTATCCAGCCGGGGAAGAAAAAACACAGGAGAAAGCAATATTCCATTCTTGCCAGTGGCATCTTTTGCAGCCTTTATGTTCAACAGAGGTCTTGCTTTCAGTTTTCCCTACACGTATCCAACAATTTGAGAATGAATAGTTATCAAGCAGAAATGCTTTATTACACTTGGGTAGTTTGGTGAAGTCCCCAGACTCCCCAGTGGTGACTGGACGTACAGCGCAAGGCAAATGGAACAGGTCGGGAGGGAAAAGGGGAGGAGGAAGCTTCATTTCTTCATTCCGAAACTGGATGGATCAACCCTGAGAAGGAAAGAACAGTCACACTCTTTCCGTGACATTCTGGGGAAGGTCATGTTCCATTTCAGCCTGAGACATAGGACTGACTCACTCTCCTGGTGTTTCTGAAAAAAAAAAAAAAATCAGTGATCTGTTCTAACTCTTTCTGAAAAAAAAAAAATATCAGTGATCTGTTCTAACTCTTTCTGTTCTTAGGGAAGAGCACGCTTTGTGCAGTGCTTTTTCAACCACTTACCTGCTTTGAGTTTCTGCAGTGAGCAGGAGTGAAGGAAAAATACTAGATAATGTCAGAGTTCTGGCTAATTTCTGCTCCAGGAGATAAAACAAATCTGCAGGCATGGGAGAGAATGAACACTGTGACATCTAAATCCAACCTGTCCAGCAACAGCAAATTCCATATTCCAGACTTAAAGGTAAGTGAAGAAGGGGTTTGTGTATGGGCAATACAGCAGCACTAGCTAGGGCTAAAGACTTTTGGGATAACTGTGGGTTTTATCCTTTAGGGTAAACATGGGATTTATCTTTCGGAATAACATGCAGAGAGTAGAAGACAGTGGTTGGGGGATGAGTTGTGTTCAGTCAACTGAAAATTGATCAGAGAGAAGTAAGTCATTGTGCTCAAAGCTGACCTTCACATTGGAAGGGTACATGTATCAGAAGGAAAAATGAATAAGTTAAATAACTTATCTCTTGCATTCCATGTACAGTTTGCTCCTAGTCATGAAAGACATACAGCACTTTACATGATGGATTGCTAATGCAAAGGGAGTAGCTAGAACCACAGCAGTAACACTGCTGACAGAGAAACCAGTGCTACAATGCACATTAGTCCTTGGGAAATTGATGTGTGTGTTTATTCAGCAGCATTATCCAGCTTCATAATATCATATAAATTCAAAGGGTATTAATCCATGATTTTAAAAATTATTTTATGAGATCTGCACTTTTATTTCTATTTCAGTGGTGGCTATGAGGTAATCAAGATCTGCTGCATTAAAGTCAATAGAGCTACCACAGATGTAGAACTTGATTCCTTGGGGAGTTGTCATCACCCATCACTTGACAATGCTACACTTAGTGCACCCAGGATCTGCCTTTAATCCAAAAAGATTGTTAACAGTTATAACTTGAGCTCTTCCAAGTACATAAGGATCCAAGTAACAGGGAAGCATGACCTGTTCTCAAGTAATAACCTACTGAATTGTCACATGAATGTTTCAGACTGGTAATGTTGCTTTTTTACCATCTATGGACCTTATTTTTACCATCTGTGGACCTTACCTAACTGGTGGTAGTGTGAGTCTGCTTATGCTAAAGGAACTAAAGCATTTGGAGTATCTGAAGACACCCATCCACATTCTGCTATTTGTTCTATATAAAATTTTTTTCTTCTCCCTCAGCTTGACCCTTCATAATGTTGAGCTGGCAACATTAGAAGAAAAGGTTTAGCAATATACTGCAACACCATAAATACAGGATGGTGACTGAGTCATACAAAAAGCAGATGTTGGTCGGAAGTGGCTTTGTGAGAGACTTAATCTTCGGTAATAGCAAAAACTCAGACAGAGACCCTCTGTCTCAGGGTCTCTAAGTGCTGCTTCTCTTGGTTCTCTCAGTACATCTGACTTGTTTGTATGTGTGCATTATTTTTGTGCATTTCTAGTCATTGTTTTATCAGGTTAAAGACTATGCAGCTCAATGAATGATACAGGTTGAAATGAAAACAGGAAGACAGCGATGTGTGATCTTGAGACTACACGTATTTTTTTCCTTTATTGGAAAAGGCTTTTTATGTCCTAGGTCCTGGGTAAAGGAATTGCTACTATTTTCCACAAAGTAGATAAAGTTCAGCCAAACTATTGAATTCACGAGTGTTAAGCACAAATCAGTCCCCTTAAGGCTCTGCCAACAGAAGCCTTAGGCAGGGTTGTGCATCTTTCACCTAATTCTCATCTTTTGCACAGGTGGGGACACTGGATGCTCTTGTTGGTCTGTCAGATGAGTTGGGAAAACTTGATAGCTTTGCTGAAAGGTAAAATAGATCTTATTTACTATCTACAAATGAGAAACAGACATTGTTTTTATGAGATGGTATGTCCTTGTGTTCACCTCAGTCTGACTCAGTTCAGCCTGGACTACAGCTGGACTAAAGTGGGTAGGCTTTGTTTAACCTTTGTATTGATTGTCATGAAGTCATCATAAGGAAAGGATGATTCCTTAAAATTTAGCTGAATGGAGTCTGTGATAGTTTTCTCTGCACAGTGATTTGAGTGGCAGTGCTAGGAAAGCTGTTTCTCAAAAGGAAACTGCTTAAAAAGGTGAGTTGTTTGTTTGTTTAAGAACATTCTTCCTCCCCCATCCAGAAACTTAATAAAACAGCTTTTAGAGAATATGAAGCCCTTCCTGATCTTGTTTTCACAGAGTATTTCTGTAGAGCCTTCTGTCCCTTTGCAAACAGATATAGGAGTTCTAAGGATTAAGTTATTTTAAATAAAATCCAAACGTCTCCCTTTCAGGCTTTTAAACTCCTTGAAAGCCAGAATATTGACTCGCATTGTATAAAACCTACTCAAGCAAAGACTTGAATGATCTGACAATGACTTGCTGACCATTGCCAAGTTTGCCTTTTGGACCAAACTGACCTGAATGTACAAAGAATAATATATTGTAGCAAGCTGAGAAAATGCCAGGTTGTAAGATGCTTCATGGCACAAAGTAGAGTTTGAGACAATGAAAGTATAAGCTGCTGGGTCTTTCTAGTTTGTTCTATTTTTTGCTTTGGAAGCATGCAACTATGAACACATGTAGTTTTGGTCATGTGTTAGCTCTGGGGATTTTAGCCTTTTTTTCTCCCAGTCCAGACTGAAAAGGATTTGCTTATCTAAATATGCTCAATCCTTTCATAGGTTTTTTTCAGGCAATTGCAAACACATACAGAAACCTTGACAGAAACTGTTGGCATCTAGGCTGGGCAGTTTGGGTCAAAGTAGGTCTGCTACAATACATTTCTCCATAGAATTTTTTTTCTTTTAATGTTATTGGTGCTACATGAAGTCTGTATTAGGATGATTACATTTGATCACTCTGGACTGCACACAACGTTGATGTTTCTAGGATCATAGAATATGATTCCTATCTTGCATTGAAAGACTACCTAAAACTAAACCATGTTGCTTTTTCAGGATTTTTAGCAGGACAGAGCAACTTAATTAATCAAGAAAAGCATCTCCATAGTGACCCTGCCAAAAATACTGCCCCATATTCTTTGTAAACATGTTCAGGCCTTTGGTTCATACTGCAGAGAAGGAAATGGGAATGGGGATAAATCTGGGAAGAGACAGTGCCAATACCTGCTAACTGTTCTCATGGAAGGTGTCTCTAGTCAGGGTAGCAGATAGGCAAGCAACAGTGAGGCCCTTCCACTGTTATCTGCTGAGGCAAGGACTCTTCCTGTTTGTCCCATTTGCCTATCAAGATAGGTAACCAAGAAGGATCAACGACATTTAAAAATAAGAGTGATGCATTGAAAAATAATAAAAAAAGCGTTAGAATAGTAACAGATAATAATCAACACAGATTCATCAACACAAGAGAAAAATCAAATGTATTAGCAGATTGAGTCCCACAAGGACATACAAAAGCATTTTGCATTAAATAAATGCCTAAGGTTTATGTCTGAATTGTGATTCGGGGGTTAAAATGCCAAGCACTCACACTTGATTGAAGTAAATGGCATCCAGAGGGTTACAAGCCTGTTCAGATGACCTGAGCAGTCATGTTCCTGCTCCTCTGAAAGAGCTGCCTGCTGAACTGTTGCTGGATAAACACAGCTGCCAGTAAAGCCGGGCAGTGCAAACCTGTCAGCGCTGCCTCCTGCCAGGACAGCAGAGAAGGGGCAAGAGCTTACAGGAGCTATTGTTTCCACATACTTTTATTATTTATTTACTCAGGGAGGAAGAGTGTTTTTCCATGTCACCCTGTGGTAGCATGGAGCTCTCTCATATTGACAGTCCTCTGGGTCACTGTTAACTGGGGGTTCTCCCTGTTCTCTGTCAGCAGAGCATTTGGCAGCAGCCTCAGATTGCAGGACTTCTGCTCCCTGTAGTGTTTTGGGGGCCTGGCTGGTAGCACCTTTTTGTTTTCAGTATCACTTAAAGACTTTGACTTATTGGAAGGTAATGACATTGCAGCACTTGCAGAAGCAAAATGTGAAAGTCTTTCAAGACGTAACAACAGGTTAAATGGAGTTATCCTTTTTATGGGTTTTTACTACTACTTCGTGAGGCAGTTTAGCTGAAACCCTTTCCTTTTTAAAGCATCATTTGAGCGTGATATTTGCTCAAGGTGCGATTCATCTCATCTAAAGGCAGAGGTTTAAGTGTTGACTGTGAAAGCTGCTCACTCAGTGAAACAGTAATGAAAGCTACTTTGGAAAATCTCCTGGTTTATACACTTTCCCATGGACTGCTTTCTCCATAAGATCTATAGACTCCTTCTATTGGTCTTACCAACTATTGTCTTGTTTCAAGTTCCTTTGAGCTCCCTGAGCATCATGAAAGAGGACAAAAACCAGCTGTATCTACCAGCTGTACTCCAGCAACCCTCTGCTGGCACCAGGTCCCTAAGGGGCTACATGTAGATAGTGAAAAACTGCAGCAGCTCTGTGAGAGGGATGTGAACTGGAGCACAGTGGTGTAAATTCCTCCTACAGAAACTCTGAACTGCTCCTGTCCAGGGTAACAGAAGAATGCTATGGGTTGAAAGGCTTCTTTAAAGATCATCCAACCACCCTGCCATGGGCAGGCACACCTTCCATTAGACCAGATTGCTCAAAGCCCCATCCAATCTGGCCTTGAATGCTTCCAGTTGTAGGGCATCCACAGCTTCTCTGGTCAACCTGTTCCAGTGCCTCATCACCTTCACAGTAAAGAATTTCTTCCTTTGTGTCCAGTCTAAATCTACTCTCACTTTAAAACTGTTGCCTCTTGTCCTGTCAGGACAGGTGCTGGTAAAAAGCTTCTCTCCAGCTGTCATATAAGCCCCCTCTATATATTGAAAGGTCACAATAAGATCTTCTCTTCTTCAGACTGAATGATCCCAAACAGCATGAATTCTAACTACTGCATTCTTGGCAGCATCAGCAATCTCATCTTTTTCCTCCCTGTCACAGGACTAGAAAACCTTTCCCAAGACTGTAAGTTTTTTCATGGGAATAGAGATAGATGTAACTGCTTTGCAGCACGTGAATGAAAATTCTTTTCTCTAATGTTTTCCTCATACCAGGAAAGACTGTACCTGGCCCAAAGTCCTATTCCTGAGCTCTTGAAAACCACAGGATGTCACAAGATACATTGGCCAAACACTGTAGGTGCCCTTTCAGTCTGCAGCTCATCTGCAGCTGTAGTAGTCTCCCCTCAGGAAGTAAAGAAAGGGATAAGAAGCCTGCCATTACGCTCCCTATCACTGTGCCAAGGATTATGTCCACTTCATGCCTCCACCAATTTCATGATCAGGCAGTTGCTTTGTAGCTGCTGCTTTTTTTTTTTTTACAGTGTGTAGTCAACCTGGAACAGTTAGGGAACTGAAAGCCAAATTCTGTGAATATCTCTGAGTGCAGAAGGATACTTGAACAACCAGAAAGTCTCTTAGCCTGTATGAGACAGGTATTTTGACTAGAGACAGGGGGATCTACTGCTGGAGGAACTTCATTAATCCATTTTTTTAAATCAGCAAAGAATAAGTAACTATGTGGACATAGTGTTCCCCAGGAGGGGCTCTGTTCAAATCACTACTCTGAATCGGGCAGAAGGATTTCAGTCTAGTTCTCCTATACCTTAAAGGAATGTCTTGTCCACCATGCTAAAGATAAGAGAGAAAGAATCCCCTAAAGAAAAAGAACAAGAAGGAAGTTCTCCCTGTCAAACAAGTGAACACTGCCATTTACCCCTGAGTACTTTATAAGAACCTTCTCTCAGCAACCCTTAGAGTTTCTTTGGCATTCTAGGGAACGAATTTTCAGTCAATGTTGTCTGTATGTAGCCTTGTGTTCCTTCATCACCTTTGGAGTTTTAAACATGGGTTTCTTGCCTTCTGGTTTCTGCTATGAGTATAATGAGTGTAGAGAAGACTGAATCTTGATCAGTCTAGAGTGCTGGATAAATGACATTACCTGTGTTTTTGCAGAGATCAATGTATTTAAGAGATAAGAAATTTAGTTCTGCAATATATCATAGATTTTTTTATCATCATTTGAATTGCAAAGTAACCTGCTTTGCTTCAGGTGTTTTGTTTGGGCATCTCTGTGTTTATTAGATCATTGTGATAACTGCTTTGTTACAATTTTGTTACAATTTCACTAACATAGTTTTCTTGTTACACCTAAGCGTAATAAAGAAAATAGCCCAGTACATAGGAGAAGTTATAGAGGACTCAAAAGATAAAGTCCAAGAAAATCTTCTGGCAAATGGAGGTAGGTGTTGTGAATGTGGGATTTTTAATGCATTGATGCTGCCTTTGTTTTAGAATATGAATATGTGGAATTGAAACTCTCACACTTCAGAAAGGACAGCCACAGCAACGTTTTATAAGAACATGTTTAGCCTGCTCCCATTTTTCTCAAAGTTAGCAAGCTAACTTTGGATGAAGAGGAAAGCAAGAGACATCCTCCTTCACTCCTAAAATGACCTAGCACATTTCTGTGCCCTGCCTGGGCTTGATCTCTTATGGGCACCTAAATCTTATTCTGTATGGCTGTGTGACATCTGTCAGTGATCTGTTACTGATTTGCATTCCCCAGCTATCCTGAAAAAGAACAACAAAATTGGATGTGTTACACATGCTAATTACAAACATGTAGAATGATGCTTTTGAATAAACTTAAGAGCGCACACTCCATCACCCTTTGACTGTCTACAATGTTGTACTTCAGACCTGTATGGGTAAAGGATGAGGAGGAAGTTCTTTTAGAAATGTACTTGCATGACATAAAAGTGATGTGTGATGAGTGCAGCTGCTTAAAAAATACAATAATCCCACTTACTGTGTTTCAGGGCTAAAGGATAAAATGAAATGTCTCAAAAGTATGTTGATTGATGATTGTGGTGTTGTCACATGCATGCATTTGTGTGTATTAGTGCTAGACACAGGTCTTGGTCTGGTTGTAGAGATACAGTGATCAGGTTACGATGGATTTCTCAAGTAACAACCTCGTAGCTTGATCACGATATCCCTATGACTTGAGAAACAACAGGTTTCATTAATATCTTTTGTTTCCCCTTTTTACACCATTTTGTTTTCATATCAGCTCTTCATGTGTGGTATTAGAAGGATATGACAATTACTTGTGTGTTACTAATTTCTCTCCTCTGTCTGGGTTTGGTCATCCAAACAAATCATATTAAATTAGGACATTAACCTTTCCAAGATTATCCACTGCATCTTAAAAAATGAAGTCAGCTTTAGTATGTGAGGATTCCCCTAATATCTTCCAGTGTCAGTCTTCATAAGCAGCAGCAACTTTTCTGCACCAAGTCTTCCTCCTTTCCTTTTTGATTAGCAAAAGGACTCTAAAGTCCTTTTGGACTTCCTTGAGTATGTGAACTCAAGGACTTCCTTGAGGTCGTGAAATTAGAAACAAAATTATAAGACCTGATTTCTTGCTTCATGGTCCGGTTTCAGACTATTAGACCATCCCAACTCAAACTTTAGGTTGCACTGATTTTAGCTCATTTGTATATAATTCTGATAGCAGTTAGGTGGTGGCTGTGCGTCTAAATTTTTTGTTAGATTTGTATGAACTAAAATGCAAAGTACTAAAAAATACAGCACTTTTAGTTATGTGAGCGTACACACACAGAGTTTTTCAGTGGGCAACAGTTGAAAGCAGCCATGTGGAAATTTCTCTCTTACAGAGAGAAATGTATATTTGGGTAAGAAAAAAATTTTAGTATATTGTAACAGCATAAGCAAGCTTTCTTGCTTATGACAGAATAAAAAATGTGAAATGTAATTAAAGCTTTTCTTCAAAGATTCATACCAAATTCTCTTCCATTTATGGTAATGTTAAACCCCAATGAATTTTAAAATTGAATAAGTGGTAGAATAACTCCATTCTTTATAGTGAACGCAAAACAAAGCAAAGTGGGAAGCATAACAATTTTAAAGAATTAAGTGTTTTGAAGGGAAAGTGTCTAACACTGCCTCTTAGAGCTGAGTGTGTAAATTAGATTATGAGATATTCAAGCTGTGGAGTTCCTGGACAGCTGTGAGCTGGTAGGAATCATCTCTCCTGGGTGGGCAGCTATGTGAAGTCTTTTAGAAGTTACTTGACAGGTCCCATAAATGAGAGATGCCATTCCATGAGCATCAGGATTCTAAGACTGCTTGGCAATTTACACTCAGCTCTGCTAGTGTAGTTCACAGTAGTTTGTGCCATCCCAAGATCAGGCTGCTTAACTAACCTGCACCAGTGCCAGAGCACTGCTCAGGAGTGGGCTTGAAAACCTGGACTGAGAACTCATGCTGTGTTTAACTGTCCAACATCCGGATTCTGCTGAGAATTAAGGAATGTGAGGATAGAAAGGGCATGTGAAGTTCTTTGGGGAACTTTTATATCTCATCAGCTATAAATAGGTCAGTGTCTGTCTTTAAAGAGCCTGTGAATACAATGTTCCTCTGCACAGCCCAGTAATGCCGTGCTCTTTGCAGGTTTCATCCCCACTGTATTTAGCAAGGCCTAAGCACGCAAGCTTAGAAGAGAGGCAGTGGGGTGAAATCCTTGTGCTGTGTACCCTGTGCTTGAAAATGCTGTGTGAACTCTGTTGCTGAAGTATTTTTGACCTCTCTGCCTTCCCCACAGAGAACACGAGCAAGCACTGCTGGAGAACTGTGCACACAAGAGCTGTGCCATAGCTCTCCCTGCCTTCTGCAGTTTTGCACCTTTTCTGCACCCTCTGTATGCAGGAGAATTTGCTCATTCCTGATTAGACATTAGCAGTAAGCATTGGATCTTTGCCTTGTGACTCCTGCTGATTGGATGTGGGGGACATTGACACAGATGTGGTTTTAGAAAGAGGGGGAGAAAACACCACTGTGCCAGTGCCCTCTAACTTCTAGGCAGTTTATCCCTTGCTAAGAAGCCTGTTCCCTCCTAGCATAAGACTTTCCATGCTTCGGAAATCTAATAGGGTAAACTGACTCTGTTGTGGGGTGAGAGAAGCCCATGGAAAGGATAGTGCTCTCCTGCCAAGGGTATTTGGTATCACACAAAACAGGGTAGTACCCTCAGCCTGCTAATATGGCAATGACACAATTTTTCACATTACTTCTCATGCATCTTGGTTCATAAAGTTTTGCCCTTACCCTCAAAGTTCAGCCCACAAGAAATTGTGCTCAAACCTCACTGTGGAACTGAATTCACTCCCTGGACAAGGCAGTAAAGAGCACTTAACGACCTCAGCATGCACGTCCTTTTACTTGGCACCTTGAGTTTGTTTTGCTCCCTACTGTCTCAGTGCAACTTCCCAGATATTCTCCATATTTACCCTCCTGGTCTGGAAGGAGCCCACCCTTCAGGTGACAGGGCCTCTGGCCTCTTTGTCTAGACCTTGAGACCATGCCTGCTCCCTTCCCCTCGCCTTCTTAACCTTTAGGGGGCAGTTCCAGCCCCTCTGCTTGTTGTGGCAGAATGCATGACTTTACCTCATCCTATAAAGTTGTGCAAGAACACTGTGTAGTGGTGTGTTCAGCATCCAAAGGGCTCTCAGGACTCAGGCAAAGAGCTGTTTGATTTCATGAGCTGCTGGAGGAGAATTCCTTGGTTGGTACCATAATGTACTAAGGCTTACTGTTTTCTAACATCAAGGAGCCCTGATCTTCAAACAGGACGATCCTGTTCTAGGAGCTGGATGTTGTATGAGTCGTCTCCTCTTGATTCTGGGAAGAAGCCATGGCTTCCTATGGTCCGAGGGTGCCTTGTTTTGGGGGTTGCATGCACAGAGCCTTGCTGTGAATTTCTGTTGTTGGATGCTGTGACTGGATTTATCCATTTATATAAATACTCTATAGCTTTTTGTGAGATGGGAACTTCTGTGCACAAAATCAGTGAGAAATTTGTCATCACATCTGAATTTGTTTGATTTCTAGTGAGCACTTGATTGAATCACAGAGAAGTGACATCTGCTATGCTCTTAATACCCTTGATGAAGCTCTCAACCACCCTGACTATTACTGCTTGTCCTGGGCATGAAGTATTTTTCTGATAGCTCTTGCTGGGATTAAATTCAGGCATATTGCAGAAATCAAGATTGAGATTACACAAAACTGTTTCTACTGTGAAGAAGAATGTCTCTACAACTGTGTGTCCTGCTGATACAGATAATTTTACACTTTTTCTATACTGCTAGGTGTAAGGCAGTAAAGATTTCTGGTTCAATTTCTAAGATTGGGCATGTTTAGAAAGGTGATTAGATTGGGCATGTGATCTGTGTGGATTTGATTTAGATCAAATCTCTATAAGAATTCAGAGGTTCTGGTTCACTCCTGTCTCTAAAAATAATCAAAGTTATGCCTAAGCTATAGCTGGGGACTACCACCCAAACTTTGGCTGTGTGATACACTATCTGCTTTCATGCATCTCTTTGCATTTTCAGTTGACCTAATTAGCTACTTGACACGGTTTGAGTGGGACATGGCCAAATATCCCATAAAGCAGCCGCTGAAGAATATATCAGAAGCATTAGCAAAGGTAAATTGCAATCCAAATTTTAAGATGTCGTCATGGGGAAGCATGTCTTTTGGCAATCATTGCAATCAGTGGAAGCTTTGCCTTTGGCTTGGCCAGGAACAAGCTCAGAAGCACACACTTCATACTGAAGCAGTTTATATTATTTTAATTTCTCCTGCAATTATAATGATACGTACATTGAAACCTAACCAATCTGTAAGTATATGGCACTTAGTCAGATTTACTACAGTACATTGATGTGTTTTGTGCACTTTAATCCCCTTCATTGTAAAACTTTATTTTTTTCATATACTGTCATATTATTCTCCATATTGGAGGGTTTTTTGTGAAATTGTTGGTCTGACATTAAATCAAATGCCTGCAGGCTGGATGAATTATTTACACTGCCAGCTCATTCAGAAAGGTGTGATGTGTTGTTCAATGTAGGTAACAAATGAAACCATGAACTTGCCCCTTAGGTACAGCTTCAGCACACTAACAGCTACAGCTGACTGAATCCTGCTTTCTGCAGAGGCCTTTGACATGGGGGAGGTCTGACACCGGTTCCCTCTTGGCCACAATCCAAGTGGTTTTAGGGGGGCTGACAGCTGTGTGCTTGCGTTAAGGTGCAGTGGTAGTGGGATGGAGGTGAGAACAAGGCTGCCAGCACTGTGTTGAGTCACTTTGTTTTACTTTGTTTTAGCAAGTGACTCAAATAGAAACAGACCTGAAGACCCGATCAGCTGTGTACAACAACATTAAAGGAAATTTGCAAAGCCTGGAGAAAAAAACTATGTAAGTATTTTGCATTGGGGATGCTGCATGGCTGAACTGAGGGCAGTGTGAACCCACACCTATTGCTGTGCAGAGGACCATGTGTATTCTGGTGGCAACACTTTTCTGGCTTTGGGGCATGCTGAGTAGCTGCAGACACAGTGAAAATCAGTGATAGGAAAGCTGGTGTAATCAGCATGTCTCAAAATCAGCTCAGGGACAGTGCCGTTCCTAATGGGATTTTATTGGCAGTGTGAGCAGGCAGTCTTGGAAAGAGTCAAAACTAAATGCACTGTATTGTTCTGATGGAACTTCAGGGAGTCAGAAATTAGATGAGCAGTGTCAGCTGGTAGATTCCTTTGCCAGACAGAGCTGTGTCCTGTGTTCTGAACAGGATTTGCAGAGCCCCCATAGGAAACAGCTCTGTCTTGCTTGTTCCCGCACCTCATCGGCATCCCACTTATATTTTTCTTTTCTTTGTTTCATTCTGTTGGTTCAGGTAATGCACTGTTCGGGCTTCCCAAATGTTCTCTCTCCTGTCTTCATCTTCTTATGGTCTTTACCTCTGTCAGTGCTGATACGTGGGGTTTTTTCTAGGATATCATTGGGGAGAATGGTAAAATCCAGTAAGTAGTAGATTCAAAGCAACTTAGATGATGCTGTGCAAGCCCTCACCCAACACATGCTCATATATGCCACTGTTTCATACTCAGGATCTGGGCACAGGACACAGGTCCTTGCCCTCCTGACCCTGCAGCCAGCCAGGTTGGCATCCTGCTGGCCAGGCCTCCAGCCAGGTGATGAGGGGGAAGAATGGAGACCTTGTGGTCAAGGCCTATCTTCCTCTCACCATTTCATTCACCTTTATATGCTGACAACTCTGGTGTCTACCTGTGCCAGATAGCTTGGGTTGAACAAACACCCAGTAAGTTACTGGCCAGTTAATTAATATTTAGAAACTACTGGTTTAGGCCCTTTTCACTTTTGCCCAGTGACAGGGAGGACGATTCCTCTCTTGTCATACACACTTGGTGCCTTCCAGCCATGCCCAGTCAGCCCTGGCCATCTGCATCTCCTAGGAATTAATATGATCAAGTGGGCTTAGTCTGTGAAGACCTCCTGCAGGTCTCAGCCATGCAAGAGACTGCTGCTCTCACTGCCCTTCAGCGGGAGGTATCTAAGTGTGCTTGGCCATGGCAGTCCAGATATGCCAGTGTTGCTTTGATGGCCTAGGTCTGTACTAACATAGCTTGCTCTGCCTGAAGCCTGGTCACACAAGCAGTTCAACAGGCTTCCTGAGAAAGCAGGTGTCTCCCTCTGGAAGTGGCAATGACTGGAAGAAGATGTGCACTTCCTGAGCATCTACACCCCTACTGTAGAAACAAAGGCAGCAGAATGGTGTAGTTTCATATAAAGGGCATAAACTAGTCACCAATATTCTGTCATTAGTCTTAGTTGTTTTTTGATCCTTTTTGTTGCAGTAAAAATAATGAAATAGTCATTTCAGAAGTGTAGCTGTGTCCTTTAGCCACCTCCTTCTTGGCCCTCTTCTACCCCAGGATACACTATTAACAACTCCACCCACAGCACAATACCTCCAGTGTGCTGCTGCTGAGTTCCTGCTAGTGTTATTTTTACTTTGCCTTTTTCACCGTAGGGGAAATCTGCTGACCCGGACCCTGGCAGACATAGTGCATAAAGAAGACTTTGTTCTGGATTCTGAGTATCTTATCACGCTGCTCGTCGTGGTGCCAAAGTAAGGCAATAGTGTGTGCACAGATGCTTGATGTGGTGTTGAGTTTCAGGCCCAAGCACCGGATCCGGGCGATGCTGAGTCAGGTTGGGGCACCTCATCAGCGCTGTGGCTGGGACATGGGTGGAGCTGTTAGCAAAGAAGAAAGAATGGTTTCTGCCAAGAGTGGTGCTGGCACAAAAGGAGACAAAGACTGCTCCAAAACTGTAGCAGGACAGAATTGGGATGTGGGTTTTTAATGGTTACGAGTGCATTCTCAATCAACCTCCTGAATAGTATGAGCTAAAAGAAAAACAGACTGTTAGTGGAGCAGCCATAAGCTGTCCAACTCACAGCCTCTGCTGGCCATACACTGCATCTGCAAGTGCCTACATGCAGGATGACTGCCACTGCCATCAGTCGTGAAAGTTATACAGTGTCCTCCTCAGAAGCCTACACGAAAGTTTCCCCCTCCATATAGCCCTGTCCCAACACACACATAAGGCACCATCACTTTTCTGTATGTATCACAGGTTACAAAAAGCTGAGATAAGTTTATTGAGTTTATTATTTGCACATTCTTTCAGATTCTTCCTAAAAACAGACTTCTTGCTTTGCAAACTCTTACCATCCCCCAGATCCCTTTCTCCCAGTGCTGGCACTCACCATGATTACAGTCTAGCATTGGATCAGCTCTGGGGTTGCACACAGCAGATGCACCACACTTACCCATGGTAGGGGTCCTGGAGGATGGGACACTGTGTGGCAACCTGGAAGTATGTGCCAAAAGCCATGTTCTTCCCACCATCAGCTTCCTGTTGTGAACCCTTCTTCAAGCTAAGACCCAAGTGAAAACTGAGGGTGTAGCATTGAGGGAAACATCTCAGCTGGTGACTAGGAGAGGAAAGGACAGGAGAGGCTTAGTGTATCTTAATGACATAACCCAACACAAAGAACTCCAACCCTTCTACCCTAAGCCATTAGCTTAATTAACTACATATATCAACACATTTCCTTTCCAGTATATAGTATTTATTTACTGTGCTTTGTTTTGTGTTGCTCAAAGGTCAAGCTACATACAGTGGCAGAAGACCTATGAATCCCTCTCAGATATGGTAGTGCCTCGCTCCACCAAGTAAGTGAAGTTCCAAATTAAGCTCCCTGTTTGTTCCAGAGATCCCTGCTATATTTCAGCCAAACTGCTGGATCCTGGAAGGAATCACTTATCTAATGCATGGGCTCCACATTAACATATTTTCAATTGAAACTAGAAATTACTCTGTTGAAGGGAAGTGCAGATGAAAGAAAAGAAAAAATAATTTTATTACAATTAGCTTGTTGTTCCTTTTTCAAGTAATCTAGTTCTTTCTACTTTCAACCATTGCCTTTGCTTTTTTGCGTAAAACAGACAATTTGCTACAATAATCAAGGCATAATTCAAACACGCAATCACATACAACTTTATGGAAACTACTTTGCAAGAAGATCAAACACTAAATTTGCACTTTAATTGCTTCTTGCTGTACAATAGAATAATTCAGCATACTATCATTTGCATTAGCAAATGCCATATTAACTTATCCTTTCACCTTAAATATTCCACTGCTCAGCTCACGCAGACCACGAGGTTCAATCCAGGGCACAAAAGCTGACAGTGCTATGACCTGAACTGGAAGAAGTGGAAGCAAGCTGTTTGCTACTGCCTGTCTCAAAAACACAAGTGCATGGAAAGGTGGGGGAACACTACCAGGAAACATAGACAAATCAGGCAGGCAGAATGTGTGTACTACAGTGGGTTCAGGAACTTAACTCATTGAGTTTTACATTGGAGATAGTGCAGCTGGTGCTAGTAAAGTCTTTGTTCCCTGTTTCAGTCACAACAGTTTTCAAAAAGCAGGGTGTTGTTCAGTATCATAAATGAAAATAAAGAGAACTGCGAAAGAGGAAGGTGAGGAAGGTAAAAAAGGCGTGAGGGATTTGCCATGACAAATCACAGCAGTGGATTTCCCTCCCACAGAATGATTGCTGAGGATGCAGAGGGAGGACTCTTCACCGTGACCCTATTTAGAAAAGTGATGGATGACTTCAAGGCTAAAGCCAGGGAGAACAGGTAAGTGACAATGACTGCTAGTCAGGGCAGGCTAGTGAGACATAATGAAGATAAGGTGAAGCTTATTCTGTGTGCAGTATGCTGAATCCATCACTGAGTTTTACGACTTCTTGACTGCTTGGGATGCTGCTGGCCCTAAAGCCACTGGCAAGGCAGGGTGGGAAGGAGCTGTGGCAGCAGAATCAATGATCCAGTTCCTAAAGCACCAAACTACAGATCCTGGAATTGTCCTTCCTGGTCTCACGCTGATAGCAGGAAGCTGGCTTTCTAGGAGTGACTTCAACTCCCACCCTCCACATACTTTAGCTTGTTAAATGGCTACAACTTTCTGTACCTGCTTCTCCAGAGGCAAAAGAAGTGAGTGTGCATTTTGCCTGGACTACAGCTTGTGAGAGCAAATGTCATTCAATTGTAGGTTCATGGTTCGAGAATTTTATTATGATGAGAAGGAGCTGAAATGTGAAAAGGAAGAGCTGATGAAATTAGCTTCTGATAAGAAACAACAATATGTAAGTAGCCCCTCAAGCTGATGGCCTACATAAAGCAGCCTTTGCTACCAGCGTGCCTAAGCATCTCTCACTCAGAAATGGCTTTATGGTTCCAACAGTCTCCTGTGAGCTCCATTTAGCCCATAAAACTGAGGCATGGGATAAATAACATGATTTGCCCAAAGTCATTTGAGTTTCTGATAAACTGGGAGTCACTACCAGGTGCCTGGGAACTGTTCCAGCAGCCCATGATGACCTCAGTGGTGTGTTAGCTATAGGGCTGCTTCACTCAGCGAGGGGATCACAGTACTGTTGTGTCTGTTCTCATAGGGCCCATTACTGCGCTGGCTGAAAGTGAACTTCAGTGAAGCATTTGTGGCTTGGATTCATGTGAAAGCCTTGAGAGTTTTTGTTGAATCTGTCCTGAGGTGAGTGAGTAAACACACAGTGCAGGCAGAGATTGCTGTGAAAGTCAAAACGTACAGTTCTCTTCCTGGTGCAGTTCCTTTGTGGGTGGAACCCTTACACACCTTGTTTTGTGTTGGTCAAGGTGTGTCCCTTGCACACTTCATTCCAGGAGCTCAAGGGAGACAATACAGATGTTTACAAAAAAGGTGACACACAAATTTGATGAAAAACAGTTCTCTGGGGGCACTCACAGGGAAGTGGAAAACAAAGATACTATTTAGTTGACTTTTGGCTTCAAAAAGAAAATGCTTTCCAATCAGGAGGCAGCATTGTTTCTGCAACACACCATCAGATGGCATGCCTGGAGGCTGAGGAGGGAGAAGGGCAGGAGCAGAGAGCTGTGTCCCTTCGCAGCAGATGATCATGTATGTTGATGTGTTTCAAGGTATGGCCTTCCAGTAAATTTCCAAGCAATGCTGTTGCAGCCAAATAGGAAGTCTGTAAAACGCCTGAGAGATGTCCTAAACGTGGTCTTCAAACACCTGGATGAAGTTGCAGCAGCAAGTATAATGGACGTATGTATTTGAACTGCAAGTGCACATGCTGTAGCTTGCCTCAGCTTAGCCAAATGAAACTTCCACTGCCCAGGGGCTCCAGCATGCATGTCCTCACATCTTGCAGTGCTAGGAGCTAGGGTGCAGCTCTAATCCCTGGTGGTTACAGACTAGATTAGGGTAACAGCTAGGCTCAGATTATGATGCAGATGTATAGAGATTGCTTGTATTTTCTGTTGCAGCATCTGATGTTCACAGCTACCAGAACAAAATAGGTCTGCTCAATTATGGCAGTTCCTCTGCATAAAAGGCTTAAAGTCCTTTATAAACATTCAGATCAACACCAGCAAGAAAAATGAATTTGGAGCTAAACGCTAGGACTGTGACACCTCTGTCCCCTGTAAAAGGCTGTCATTCATAAATAACCTAGGCCTTAAGCAAGCAGTACTTGCTTTCACCTTCCCCAGATCTTGAGTGCACAAACATTTTAGGCTAAAGTAATAAATAGAGGCCTTCAAAATAGCCTAAAACCAGCAAACATGATTCCCACTACGCTAAGGGAGGACAAAGAGATGAGTCGCTCTAGAGCTGACGCACACAAAATTGCTACAAGTTCACGACAATGAAGCCCGAATTCTCAATGCTAGTTATGTTAGACAGCCTGAAACAAGCAAAGACCAGATTCTCAGTGGTGAATGTAGGAGAGGAGCACAAAAGCAATCCCCTGTAGCTTTGAACTGCCACTAAAGTCATATTATTTCCTTTTCCAGCCTGGCATGGACATCCCTGGCTTACAACTGAGTAACCAAGAATACTATCCTTATGTCTATTTCAAGATTGACCTCAGTCTTCTTGACTGCAGTTAAAGAAAAATTGCTCAAGCTTCGTCTATTAATTTTCAAGACTCTAATGTTATAGTAAAATGATCTTTAGCTGCTGAAAGTCAAATTAAAATGCAGATGCTGTAGCAGGATGATCTTCCTACCACTTCCAATAATTTTTACAGTGACTTCAATATAAATATTCCTTATTCATAGTTTTACAAAAAAATATTTCAGAGGCAGGAGGTACTATGGTAGTATTTATTTTTTTTTGGTAAATTACAAAGATGGAGTATCTACAGGACTTGAAATAAAACAATTTAAAAAATATGGTGGCTAATGGGTCTACTAAGTCTACTAAGTCCTGTTTTTCTAACAAAAAAATACCCTAACAGAAAAAGTAGAAAGCATCAGAGCAAAGTCCAAAGTTCTTTTAATTTAACAAAAAAAATGCCGAAAGCTTAAGAGGAAAGATCCTCAAAAATGCTGAGGAGTTTATTGTAGTATGACTTATAGTCCCAAGTACTCGTGAGTTTAGTTTTTGCAAAGATAATTCAGTTAAAACAGTTCCATTAGATCTCATCTGCTGGGATGACTTAAGAGTCAGACACATCTCTTGCACCAAATCAGCAAAGTTGCTACTGGTTCTGACACTGCCTTTCACAGGGATGAGCTACAGGCAATCTCTTACAGACACCAAATGACAAATATCCATATTAGGTTATTTCCTTGAAAGAAGGGGAAACTTTCAGCTCTTTCATTCCTCACTTACAAACAAGCTCATCACATGAGGGTCACTTCACTAGACACCAATATACAAGACATGGAGAGCAATAAAATAATAGTATTTTTATTAAAAAAGCAGCAGTAAACATCCCTATTCCCAGTTCCCCTTCCAAGGAAATAGCAATTTCAGATCAAAACAATGTCAGATGGGAAGTGAAGAAACATTACCCAATTTGCTGGAGACAGCACTAGGGTGGTTTTCTAATAGCACCTGGAAATCCTCATGCCCTAAAATGGGGATTAGCTTCACCACTAATCCAGGGGAAAGACCAACAACTCCCAGCATCTCCCATTGCAGCAGCAACCGCACTTCCATTGTATTAATGATTTTATGAAGTCTGGGACAAAGAAAGAGAAAGCCCCTGAGAAGCAATAAGAAAAGGAAGACTAAAGAGCATTTAAACTAAGATTGTCCATCTAATCAGGCTTTAGGCCAAACTGTCAAGATCTCACAGCAAGGGGGTGGCTTAGGACTCCCATCTGCACAAGCCTCTCTATTCTACAGTTCATTTTTCAAGAGTCATCCAGAACAGGACAGCTTGTATCATGTGCACCTTTCTTACTCTATACAAGACTAACACTGTGTGTCAAAAAATATTTTATTCTTTAATTGAAACAGAAGCTGACCAGGTTCCACCTCCATGAAAAAAAAAAAAAAAATTACATTTAACATTGGTTACACTAACAGCCTCCAGGAACACTCAAACAGCACACTATCCACAGAATAAAAACCAAGATGTTCCAAAGAAATATCCATGTTGTCCTCAAAATATTTGTAACACAGAATACAATCAAGTTTACTGGTTATGACAATTCATAGAATTTCTGCAATGTTTTCTTGAGATGCGTACAGTCCACTGCTGCAGTGCATCAAACAGCACAGTTTGTCACGTGCTATTCTCCACATAAAGGCCACTGAAATATCCGTCTGATTGTGATCCAGGCTGCAAACTGCTGCGCAAACTCTCCCAAGAAAAAAAGTTTCCTGAAGATCTCACAGCTCATCTTTATCCCAGTCATCCAGATCCACATCACTGAGATCAATGTCATCTTCAACTGGAAGCTGTGAAAAAGGGAAGGTTTTGAGCATGTATTTAGAAGTACTTAATGCCAGGAGATCCCTGACTTAGAAATATTCTTACTTCATCCTGAGAGTGAAGCTCCCTCCCGTCATCTCTTTTGTTCATAAAACTAAAAGTGCATTAAGCACAGGACAAGTGATCAGAGTTTGGACTGAGGCTTGTTTTCTACTAATAAAAATACTCCAGATGAAGGCAATACAAGTAAGCTCTGTAACAAAACTACTACCATATTCCGTGCTTTTCTTTGTCTGAAGTAAATCAAAGGACTGCAGTAACTTTGTTTTTTACAGCAATGTTGAACCTTAAGAATGTCCACTGAGTCACTGTGTTATTTATTACACAGTTTACCCGACAAACTTTCTGACAGTAAGACCTTGATGTCAAGGTCAGCATACCCCAGAACCAAAGTCTCCACAACACTGGGGTCTTGAATGCAGGCACTACCACCTCCCTTACTCAGCACTGCTAATGCACTTCTGCCTCAAGGGATTCAACCTTCAGATCACATCCTATCAGCTAGGCAGAAGCATCTGGTCCACAATGTCAGACAATTAATTTGGCATTTGGTCTGCTGGCAGGATTTAGATAATGCAAAACCATCAACAAAACTTGCCACAATCTTGTAAGAACAAGAATTTTCACATTGACAGTTCTTAGTTACTCTATTCTGTCACTTCTAAACCCAGCAGTTCATCAGCACTTTTAGAAATGGAGCATCTCTTACCTCACCATCTTTGCCATCCCAAGGTTCAACTGAATGAATTTTGGGGAAAGCTCCACCACCCACTGGTGCTGTAGAGCCACGACCAACAGAGAGTTCCCTGAGAAAAAACATGTAAAAATTAAAGTTCAGAAACTTCTCCAGCCTTCCTCCACCTGGAACAGTGCCTGCTTCAGATAAAAGGAAGTCAACTTTAAGATTTCGTCTCTTCAAGCAAATCTGAACTGTCTTTTGGAAGCAAAAACTTTTCAAATTGAGAAGTAGAAAATGACACAGCCCTTAAAGCAGCATTGAAAATTTACAATTGGATCCAAAGACATCTGTGACCTACACTATTTCATATTTCAGCGGTGTAACAATCATGGATAAGTACAGACATTTAACAGTATGTTGTTTATCACTTAAGGCAACTCCAAGGAGAGTCTACAATTCTATTTGTGGAAGTCACCTGCAACTGTTACTCAAAATTACCACAGATCTTTTTTAGTGAAGACTAAGCCTCCATGGGTTCCAACAGATACAAGGTAACCAGCCTCTGAGACACTCCTTCCTGCCCTTGCTAGTTAGGCTTGCTCAAAAAGCCCAGCATTAAAACCCTGAGGAGCTAATCCCTTTGCATTCTTTCAGAGGCAAATAAGACTGAATTAGCATTCCTCCCTAGGTGGATTCCACAATTTTTGTGCTCTTCACAGTGCCAGTTTCCTTACTTGTAGTCAACACTGCTGAGACTGCCTATTAGATTACAGAAGCTGCCTACAGCAGCTGAGTTAACAGCCAGCCACACCAACTGTGATTATACTTTCTCTAGGCAGCACAGCTGAGCTGAAGTGTGGAAAGACAATACCAAACCAATTACCCAACGATATAAGCTGTTAAATTGGCTGTTGTGTTCTGGAAGCACCATCCACCCTCCCCAGGAGAGGTTTCACAAAGATGGATTTTATAGACTAAGAGAATTTGCCATGTCTGAGAAAGGCAGATGCTTCTCTAATGTGCATTAATTAGTACAAACTGTCTGGTATTTTTCTCTTCTTACATCTGAATCCTGAATTTTACTTGACGCCCTAAGAATGTTTATTTTTTGGCATTAAAAAGAAAGTCTGATCACTTGGTAAGATCTTACCTGTCTGATCAACAGGTAAGAGAATATAGCATTGATTCCATTAATCCAGAATTAAATAGAATTGATTACCAAGTTATTTCCTGAGTTACAGAGAAGAATTTTTCAACATCAAAGCCCACTTCTGTCAAAAGTTGTGCCAAAACTACCATTTAACTCTAAACGGCCAACTTAATTTTGCACACCACAAAAAGGTAGTGACTGCTTTATTGCAATCCTCACTGAAATCATTCCTTACTCCAGTGAATTCTAATCATAATTCTCTTAATTGTGCAAGTATTGTCTGATCCTCAAGAGTCCGATTTTGGCCTAAAGAGTCACAGCCCCAGTTACAGAAAGATTCAAGTCACTTAAAGATTTCATACCTGAGGAACTCATTAATCCCTTGCTCACTGAATGATCCTTTCAGAAGGGCAAATTTCATCTTGCGAGCATTAACAGCAGCCATTGCTGGATACCCAAAGCCTCCAATCCCCAGAGAGCTCTCAAGATCTGACTGAGCACCTGCTTCTGTCCACAGCCACCTTGAGGAAAAGACAAAACAGAATATTAACAATGAAGATAGGCACTACAATAATTTTCAAGTCACATAAATTCTGCAACCCTGCAGAGTTCAAGCGGGGCTCTGAACTGCCTTTGACACTGGCAACTGTTACTGATATCAGCAGGGAATAGCAGGGTCCCGATCTTGAAGCTTGCACCAGAAGAAAGCCCCTCCTCAGCAGCACCTCTAGGCCAGTCCCATCCTCACAGCCACTGAAAGCTGGATCAGAACAGCCATTGCAGAGAAAGAACTATGTTATTAAAGTGAACAAATTGCTACACTTTTGCCTGTATTAAGCAAGGTTTAAAATTATCAAGTCACAGATCCAAACATGACAAAGTCCTGCCTAAATATCACTAAAAAGAACTTTTACCTAAGGACACTCAGTATTTGTTTCTCACTGGTCAGGTCTCAGTTCCTGTAATGCTTAGCAAGTCCCCTGAGTAACCTCTGGAATCAGCCAATCTCAGCCTATTCCCCCAGGCTTTCATACCATTTTGCCCCTTTTCACAGCAGTCTGTGTGACAGAACAGCGCTCACTTTCCAATTAAGTTCCAGAGATCCTCACCTGCACTTGAGAGGAGGTGGCAAAGCCTGATGGCCTGCTTCTTTGACAGCATGAAACTTGTTAATAAACTGTAATTTACCTTTTTTTTCCCCTGAGAATTCAACATTCATACTGGCAGACTCTCCCACCAGCAAAAGACTAAAAGAAATTGCCCTAAAATATTTTAGTATTCAGGACAAGAGTAAAAGTTGCTTAATCTCATTAATGCTCCAATATCTTGTAAATGCAGAATTGGAGGTGGATGAAAAGAAAAAAAAAATAGCAGGTTATTCTAAAGTCACAGCATTCCCTCCCCAGTAATTAGTGAAATACCACAGTATGCTACCCTGAACAAGGAACAACTCTGATCTGTAGTTAAACTGTTATTATACAAATTTTATCCCATTACCTCCAGAAATGCTCACATCTTTTCCAAGATAACCAATCTACAATGACACTTACCCCCACATTTTCTTTTTGTATTTTTCAGCCATTTTTAACATGACATCCAGGTAAGAATTTCTCCCTGAGGCTCCTGTTAGACAGAATTGGACGAGTTAAAAACCACAACTACATGCTCTAAGTGACAAATTCATACAGAAGTCTGCTTGCTTG